GCATTTAGTTCATCATTTTAAATGTATAATTTATTACTATATATTAATATATTATTTATTTGGGACAATTGATTATTTAATTATGGATTTTATCATTTGAAAGTATATTTTAACATTTGAATCCATAAACGTGAAATATTCAGCTACATATTTCGTGTGATATTTTCATAATTCATGAACATTTCGGCCCTCCATAAAACTCAGGGATGACGTCACAACGATTATTGAAATCAAGCCTCTGGGCCGCTGCCTTAGTGTTTGGCGACCTCTCAGGGGGTCCTGGTCTTTAATGGATGGCTGCAGGTTCGCCTGCAGGAGATCATTCAGCTTCCAGGAGCTCCTCCCTCTTCTGGTTGCTAGATGTTTGGAGCCTTAGAGCAGAACATTGAACCATAAAAGTTCCCCTCATGTTCCTCTCAGACCCTTTGCAGAACCAAGTCCAGTCGCGCTTTCTATTGACAGGTTTACATAAGCTCCTGCAGGTTCTCTCTGTTCCTCTCTTTGTTCATCACCATAAAATCCTTCATGAATTAGAAAAAAATTCTCCTCCACAAACCAAAGCAAGCACCGAGCTGTGCAACAGGTTTTACCTTCAGAGGATTTTCTACAGAACCACGATGAAAACTGAAAGGAGGTTCTGCAGGATGACCTTCGATATCCTGATTGGTTCCTCCAGATTTAAATGGAAAAAAAGGTCTTTGATCCCTGAAATAAATAAAAACTATCTTTAAAAGGGAAATTATAACTGAAACTAACTGATGAGTTAAAACTAAAACAGGAAAAATGAGACACATTCAGTAAAGCTGCTGCTGCTGAGCTCCTATAGAAACTGGTTGATCATTTTTCGGTTAAAATGTGGTGAAGATTCGTTTTTCTTTCCATGAAACTCCTCGCCGGACAGCAGGAAGGTCTTCAGCGTCGCCCTGGAGGGCGTCTGACCTCATGGGGGGAGAACCTTAACCTAAACAACCAGAGGGATCTGTTTTCACCCTGAGCAGAACAGAAAGGCTCTGCAGTCTGACTGATGCCACAGATGCTCGTCCATCAGAAGCAGCTGCTGGGCTGACAGCCAATCAGCTTCAGGCGCCTGCAGGCCTCATGTTCAGATCAACAGAGCTGCTGAATGTCACTGATATCAGGCGTCTATGTCTCAATCCAGCAGAGGGCGCCACAATGCACGAAAAACAAGCAAACATCTTCACGTTTCCAGACAGTAAAAACTGACTGCTTCTAATATTTAAGGGAAATATATTCCAGCACATTACAACTTTTTTATTTTTTTAACGTTTTTTTGCACTATATACACTGTTTTTATATTTTTGTTGTTTTTTCTCTTTAATGGGATCTTGCTTTAACTCGTTATACGACTGGAACCAGAATTTTCCTGCAGGGTAATCCCAAGGGATTCATAAAGTTGAGTCTAAGTCTGAACTCATGAATTTATTCATTCAGAGCCTTTAGCACAAAATTTACAATCTCACCAGATCTTCAATGCATGTCGGTCTGAAAAGCAAACAAAAAGAAAACCTGCCCCCCACCCACCGCCTCCCATTTAGGGGGGAAAAAAACACTTCGTTTGAATGTTGCTCTGCAGGAAAAATGCCTGCAGGAGATCAATCCAAACCAGGATCCAAACCGCCAACATGGAGAACAATGCGGTCATAA